AGCAGGAATAGAATCTTGTCTGCCTGCTGTTGTCCTGTCTGCTGCCAACTGATAATAGAGAGGCATGAAATCTTCCCCAGAGGTTGTTTCAATACACACACTGTTTGAGAGCTGTGGGCTGGTCTGACCATGTGAATGCCCTGACACTCAGAGGTCACCTCTCGCCCAGAGTGGAGCTTGGACCATGCTGCCTCTGAGCACTGCATCTTGGGGATGGAGAGGCCATCCTAACCGCTACTGAAAAGATTCCCCCTGGGACCTTTGCTTTGCCCTGTAGCACCTTCCTTTGTTCCTTGAATTGTGGAGAAATAGAAGACAGGACTCAGCTTGCATTTCCCCTGGATTTGTTTCTAAGTAAAGAAATATCCTGAACCACTATCTCAGTTTTACCCAACCTTCATTTTTCTTTTGCTTTTTTGGCACCAAGATGCCTGTGGGACAACATATTCCCATCAGTAACAATGGCTGTCAATGGCAGGGTGTCTTCCCAGAACCAGAATGCGTGGAGGGGGTATATCCCTCTCAAGACCATGTATTGAAATCTCTGGGGTAAGGGTACATAGAGTTTTCAAAAGCCCCCAGGGATATCTGTTCACCTCCCTCACTCTTCATTACTTTTATTTTCAGGTTCCCCATTGACCTTCCTTATTATTCTAAGAAGTAACATATAAATAATGATTATTTTACAAAAGTATTTATTGACCCACTTTCCAAATTGGAGAGGGGGAATGGTTCTTTCATCCCCCACCCCTTTGCTAATTTTGTTTGCAGAATACAGGCACATAGTGTTTAATTTTATAAAGGAATACAAATTCCTTTATTTTTTGAAGTATTATCTAGATTAAAAAATATGGCAGCAATGCGTAGTGAAACTGCCAGTGTGTGATGTGGCCACAGCTACACACATTTATACATTAGTGAGCTCTTACACTGGGATTCCTGGAGCAACCCATGTGTAGAAAAGTGAGGTTGTAACTGTGCTCACTGATTGTATAGTAAGCGTTTCTTCTTGAGAGAAAACAGGGCGGTGGTACAGAGAGATGACATACTGGTCTCTGCTGAGACGGCTCCCACTCAAATTAAGTCTGATTCTAGGCCTAACGGGGTTGCATCATTTGAGTAAAGGCAAGCAGGTAAACCCTGACAATTCCACCCTCTATCTTTTTGGGGTTTTTTCATTGTCATTTGTTCTGGGAACAATGACACAATGTCTCCCAGAGATTCACTCCTGACTGGGCCATAAGCTCCTCAGTTGGTTCGGTTCCTAGAGAGATGGTTCGGAACCCCCATCTCTCCTGGCTGGAAGCTGACTGCTGAGAGGGAGTGAGCAAAGAGTGAGCAGCCTGGTCCTGAGGCCAGTAATTTCCTTGGCTGACTAATTTCCCATTTGTGGGCCTGAGCTGTCTTAATTCAGTGTCAGGAGGTTTCAGGTAAGAGTTGAGGAGTACAATGAGGAAATCAGATTTTTAAAAATAGGGGCTTCCCTGGTGGCACAGTGGTTGAGAGTCCGCCTGCCGATGCAGGGGATACGGGTTCGTGCCCCAGTCCGGGAAGATCCCACATGCTGCAGAGCGGCTAGGCCCGTGAGCCATGGCCGCTGAGCCTGCGCGTCTGGAACCTGTGCTCCGCGATGGGAGACGCCACAACAGTGAGAGGCCCGCATACCACAAAAAAAAAAAAAAAAAAAAAAAAGGCCTCCATTTACAATGCTTGGTGTCAGTTTATTATCTCTTGTAAAAATAAAATACAGTGTGTGTGTGGGAAAAAAATACATAAATAAATAAAGCAAAGCTGTGTCTGAGTGCAAAAAATAATAATAATAAATAAATAAATGGCCTTTCTAGTGCTCTCAGTCAAGGGCTCTAAGACAGAATTGTGTCCTTTCTGAGGTCTTCTGCACACAGCTAGTGGAGGACACTTCCCCCTTCCAAGAAAGGTTCCAATGGTGTTCCTCCTGGCCCCTCCCTAGGCGAACAGCACTCGGAGGCAAGTACCAAGTCTGGAGCTCAACACTGAAAGCTTTCCTCCTGCTTCTCAGCAGCCCGTTTTAAGGCTGCATGCTCTTCACTCTGTGATCTGATTTCCAGGTTGAAGATGATTACAGCCAGGAGAGCCCTTAGATGTTAGCTAGCATGGCCTCCCCTGTGTGGACGAGAAGACTGAGCTCCACTGTGGGAAATGATTGGATCCGAGGATGGCACAGACCTCGGGGCAGAGCTGGGAGCAGCTGCCAAGTCACCTGGTCTTTTTCCTGCCGAGGCTGCCTCTCGCCGGGGACTGAGCCTTCGGCTGGATTATGCAGATTTGGAGCCAAGTTCCCTTCTAGTCCCTAAAGGATTTAAACTGGGCATGAGGGAGCTGTGGGCACCCTATCGCCCGCCTCTTTCAGGAGCACTGGAGGAGGCAGCAGCCGTCAGCACAGCACCAGCTTGCTCCCCCAGCGGCTGCCTGGGACCGGGAACCAAACCAGGAGCTCTAACGGTTCTAGGACTTTATGAATCTACATTGTTATTACTGTGCTTCTCACAGCACATGAAGTTCCATTCTATCTCACCAGCTGGTCTGCGAGCTCCCCAAGCAAGGGAACCGCATGTTACTTCTCTCTCAATCCTTATGTGTCAGGAGCGCAATAGTACTGCAGTAAATGAACATATGAGTTTGGGTTTGGAAGGCCTGAATCTGAATCATGGATGAACCGC